AAATAATAGCAACAATTAAAAAAAACCACAAGTCCGTTAGGTCGTTTGGAGTATATAAACTGTAGTTTCTTAATTCCAGTCTTTGTGTAGTATACAAGTTATTGTACTGCACTTGCCAGTTTGCTGAGTTTCATGTAAATATGTTTATTGTAATCTTCGCTATGCTATAATGCTAAAGTTGTAGTATCCAGTATGGCTCAATTTATCCTTAACGCAAAATAGCAAACAACTTAGAAAAATGCAGACTGCATCCTATTTACCAGTATATTGCTCTTCTTAATAGTGGGAGTTATTGCCTTGTAAGTGGTATGCTTATGGCTAAGGCCATGCATTCTACAAATTAATAGGATTTCTTCTTAGTTGTAAATCTTAACTGCCACACTAGTTTGGCTATCTGTTGATTGTTAGTATGAGTAACTCATGGAATTTGTTTTGTTTGGCACTTGAAAATAGTCCTTTGTCTTCCAGAAGAATCCAGAGTAAACTGGTCTCCTTAAAAGGTTGGCTTCTAATTTAAATTAGATTATACCATGCATAAAAAATGGACATCGTGCTTTCATTAAATTAAACATATTTGTGCTCAGTACTGTTTCCTTAACTATTGCAAATGTGTCAGTATATTTTATTATGTGGGAGAACTGTGAGAAAATGAACAATTGCTTTGCTACTATGTAAATTGTATACACCAAAATGAGCACTGCTCATCTTCCAAGATGGGTGAGGCTAGAAAGTAAATTATAGCGATGTGTCTGAGACTTGTTAGAATAGACACATTAGAAAACAAATTATACTGCTGAAAGTATGGCTTCATTGGTGTGAAGAAAACTCTGGTAAAACAAGTAAAGAAAGCTCTGGAAGGATTAGAATTAGAATGTACAAGGCTGTCAAAATTTACATATGGGAACATATAACAATTACTTTATCAGTCATTATAAAAGAAGAGAACTTTGGTGACCCCTTTGTCCTTCAGTATACAACATGATTGTACAATGGGTTACAGTTTTAGGTGTTTTTTTTTTTTTTTGAGGTTAATTTCTTGGGCATATTGGTTTTGATGTAAATTGTTTAGCTGGAAAATAGTAATAATAAAAAATCTTAGTTACCTTGTAGACAAGTCCCAAACAGATTTTTAAACTGTCATACTTACCTTGGGCTTTGAGCACAGGAGAGTTTAATAAAGTAATACATTTACACAACTTCCAGTTTTCACAATGTTTGCCGTGTCTAGTTGAAACATTTCCTATTTTTAGAGTGCAGATCAGACTGCTTCCTTTTGAATATCATAAGAATGCTCATCTAAAATATAATTCTATATATTTGTACTTCATTGAAAACTTTTACTGATACTGCACGTGTGATGCATTCCGTACAATTACAGAAGACATTCTCTCTTGAAGAGCATGTGAGCCTTCTCTGGCCTAGGGAAGCTGTCATCATCTGAACAAGAAGAGTGATTCTTCTTATTGTCTTCCTTTGTCGTCTTATTTTGTGTTTTGCTTTGTATCTTTTAATCTCTTTTCTCCTGGAAAAATAAGTTTATGCTACCTTAGTTTTATGGCATCGCTGGAACTTGCTGTTACTACAAATACGGGGGAAATCAAACATTACAAAAATTGTATGACTGATAATGCTTCTGGCCAGATGATACTGTTCTTGCTAATTTGATTCAAAATCTAAAAAGTTGAGGTACTTGCAAAAAACGTGTTGAGGGTAAGAGACAAGAGTTAAAATGAAATATTGTTTGTTTAAAATCATCTATTAACTGTATTTTTGTAGGTAAATTAAAATTGTTAGATTTATTTTCTCATGTCCCTTCCATGTATTATAATGCATAATGCTTTTAAATGTCTTTGAATTATTAACCATCATGATCAGTATACTGTATACTACAGTGTAATCTCTTGCGGTTTTGCAGCTGGTTTTTTAAAAGCAGTTTGTTTCCGAAAGCCAACTCATTTATTGGAATCAAGGGGGAAATTTAAATTTATACTTAACACTTCTTTCTATAATTTCTTATTTTTATAAATAACAACTTATATTGATTTCCGTTTAACGGAAATTCAACATTTAAATGTGAGTATGGTGGTCTTGCTGTTTTGGATGTATCCTACCTTTAAGAACATGAGTGAGAATTGCTTGCGAGATGCAAAGTAAGAGCATGATAAACTGCAGTAATAGCTGCAGGTATGTAGAACTTATGTATTTTAGATATTTACTACTTCTCCCTGATATGAATTTTCCTCTTTCTTTTCCCAGCGTTTTCTTTTCCATTATACAGCCTGACAGCTTAACTTATTGAGTCAATTAGGGCTGCTTAAACTAAGTTGAAGGATTTTGCCCTGAAGGGGACAAAGAATAGTCGCATCAACTACTGACTATACTCAAAGATAAGAGAACATCACAAACTGTAAAGGTGAGGAGTGACAGAAAAGGTACTGAGTAACATCATTAGTGAAGTTGCTGTTTCCAGGTTGGTGCCAGCTTTGGATTTGTGATGCCTCCAGACTGGTGAGAAAAGGTCCAGGTTTAGGTTGGGATGATTACAAGCGGTTAGAGAGCTTACAGCTTTGCCAGTCTTGCCTTGTATCTAGCAAGGTATGTGACAGGCATTTTGGAGATAGGAAGTGGAGATGCTGGCAGTTATGCGTGGCTGTTAGGAAGATGCCCATGTGCCTCTGCAGATGTGGGGTTGTTTCAGAGCGCTGGAGCAGATGGCAGTAACGTATCTCTGTGCTTTGCCTGGAGGACCTGTAAGCAATTTACATCGATAGAAATGCATTCTTCTCTTTTACCCTACAAAATTTTATGGATTACTTTAACCGTTTCACTGCCCTAAATATACATTCAGCCACGGCTGTATGCTTGCTGATGCATGTATATTAATAATTGAATGCAAGCTTGCAGAGCTTACACCTTTAGCTGGCCCTTTGCAGAGCTCTGAAGCCCAAGTCTCTGTTACTGATACTTGCTGAACTTGCCTACCGTTTGCTTCTCGGGGAATATGCAAATTGCCTGTGTGTGGCTCCAAGAACTCTGTAAATGTTCAGCTCCTCTAGCAGGATAAGAATGATGGTAATGTATGCATTTGGCAATCTGAAACTTAAATTATGCTTTCTGCTCTGGATCCTTGATACAAAAAAAAATCCCTGTGCTTCCTCTGCAAAAGCCACAGGACTTTGTAAGGGAGACTTTTTAGAAATGATGTTGAGAGATATATGAAACAGACAGCAAGGCCTTGTTAAACTGTAAAAAGTAGAATGGCCAGGAAGGCTCTAGCAGATGATGTGTTGAGCTGTACTATGCCTATATTTACATGTACAAATAAAGCATTTTATGAAATTTAAGTGATCCCCAGCTTATTGACATCAGTGTCACGAAACCTTTGCCTGTTCATCCAAGCTTTTGCCTCAAAAATAAAAAGCATGAATAAGTTTTGATAGGAAAATTAATTTTGCTGCAGCATGTTCAGGGGATGGTGGGCATCAGGATATTTGCGTGTGAAATGCGGAACTATGCAAGGAGACCTGTGTGCAAGCAAGAGGGCCGTACTTCAGCTATATCCACGTTTTCACCTTGGTGCCTATTACAGGAAAAGTCATCTTGGTCACTCTGATATGCCTGCATGTGTTGAGGAATAGAAACAAATGGGAAGTCTCCCAAGTGCTTTCCATTTGCAAAATGATCTCTCAAGCTTATTTTGTCCCAGGATGACAAGCTCCCTTCTCTCTTGGTTAAGTGCTAGAAAAATGTATTCCCTTTCCCACAGTAAAAGTTAATTCTCCAGGGGTGTGCAGCCTATCTACATACTAGAGTTCACAAGTAGGAGACAGTTAGAGGGCACAGGTGGATATCGGTAGGCTGGACCAGGAGGGGTACCTGTGTCACCTTCAGTCCTAGACAGTTTCCGTGTTCCTTTTTTTATCCTTTTCCTTTTCATCTAGTGTCTGGCTATGTAAGCTGCTATGGATGGCTTTTGCAAGTGTACTAAGTCAGATGAATAACCTTCTTAAGGTGGGTGCTTATTTGCTTACTATTGTTCAGAGAGTATTCCCGAATCAGATTGGCATTTGTGAGATGCCACCTTAAAAAAAAAAAAATAATAATGTTCCTATATTTGAGAAACTCTTGAGATAGTAAGAATTGTTTTCCCCTTTCCCTGGGACCTGCAGATCAAGATAGATGGCTTTTTCCTGTACAATACTTCAAATACATCCAAAAGGTCCTGTATTTAGAACAGGGTAAGCTTATCTAGGTTCTGAAGAGGTGTGCTGCAGTCTGGTGCAGAAAGGGTGTTTTTATGGGCTGTTAGTTTCTTGCTTACAGTGCAACAAAAATCAGCAGGAGACAGCTCTGTATGACTAGAGCTGTAAGTGCCTGGGAGGAAAAAGGAAACTAACCTTTGTTTCTGAACACTGACCCATACATTTCTCTGCTGCTTTTGAATGTGTACAGTTGTCATCACGTGCAATGTTAGCCTTATCCATTTGATCAAAGGTCAGTGAAATCGAATGGCTACATCACTCGTAAGAGCTCTTGCCCGCTAAAACTTTCTAAGGATGCAAGAATGATAATACTGTGCTATCTATGCTGTCACTGTACTTGTCAATATCTGGCTCTATCTGCAAAACCCTGTTTGTATTTCAGTCTTAGAAAGGATATGGGTGGGAAATTGAAGACCGAGCTGTGGCCTACTTTACTGTTAGACTGTGAATAAAAGCCTTTACAAGGTGTTTGTGTTGTGTTGAAAACTGCTAGTCAGAATGGCGCAGTGGGATGTATGCTGATGGAAGGTGATGGACAAGAGCAGATCCTAGCACTATGGAACACGGTTTGGGCTGGTGCCAAATGGAACTAGGGCTCAGGCAAACGCAAACCCTCAACATGCATTAAAAAAGAGAACGGAGGGGGAAGAACACCGGGTAAACAGGTTCATCTATGCAGTTATTTAAGCACCTGTATCTAGTGCTTCTGTGGGTGGGTTGCTTTGACCATACCTGATGATGGCGGTCTCGGTCTCCATTGGTGTTCAAATTATCTGTGACTTGTCTCAGTACCTGAGATGCCAAACTGGCATTGTACGTCCCAGTATGTAGTCTGATTCAGCTTCTTATACAGGAACAATCTTTCTTTTGGCCCCGGGGTTATTATTTTTTACTTTTTTTCCTCGTAAACTTGAAAATAACTGCTTTAGCTTCACAGGTTCAAGTGTATGGCTCCATGTCAAAAGTTATTCTGAGATGGTATTTTGGGAAGATCTTGCTATAATCTGAGCAGTCCACAGCTCAAAGGACTAAGATCGCAGTATGTCAGAACAGTATGCCCTTTCTTGTGGTCATAGTACAGGAGTGCTTAGTTTTAAACATATGGTGATGCTTACAGGGCTGGTACCCAGGGGAAGGCTGTGGGGTGGCATTCTAGATGCTGCAGGTAAGTGAAAGAGAGATGAAATAGGTATCAGTAATATTATCTTCTGGTGATGAAGTCCTGACCTTAAGAATATCAGGTGGACTAATAATGGGGAATGGCAGCATCTGGGAAGAATTGACACCCTGCCCATTAGATGAGAAGGGGAAGAGCAGTACTTCAAGCTGGATTTAAAAGCGGTTGGGCTGGGACCTAGAGGAGTGGAGGAGGCAAATGACTGAAGATGTGTCAAAGAGAATAACAATTATGATATTGTTCCAGAATCTCAAACAGGTCAGACTTTGGATTGCATGATGTCATGGCAGCTGCTCTCAACCTGTTTATTCTAGTCTCGTGATCCAGTCCCTTCAGGAATAGATTATTTATTCCTAACCACATGTAAAGGTTGAAGTCTTGTACTTTGCACAATTCATAATAATCAATCTGCTTCACAAATGCCTTGTTTAATCTTGTCCTCTTACGTTAGTATATTTAGCTTTGGTAGCATCAGTGGAAAAATAAAAAGTCAATCTTGTAACCATTAAAATTTTTTTTTTTTTAAAGTAAAATAAAATCCAGTAAATCTAAGTTGTTAGCCTTCGGTAAGAGTTAACTGTAAGTTAATTTTGTAATAATAATATTTATATTAATAGTTTGTAAGAGGGTTTGCTAATTGAGTACTGTACCCCAGCATGTGAAAAGAATTAAACTGCTGTGTAATGGTGACCATTGCACACAACTGTGATAAACGTTTTATACTTCTGATGAGAAATCTGCTCAATTTTTTTGCATTCCTTTTTGTCCTTTAAAAAGGTCTCCAAAGACAGTTATGTGTGTTTTTTTTTTTTTTTTAAAAAAGAGAGAGAAAGAGGGAGAGAGAGAGATGGGTTATTTTCTCTGAAATTTTTTTTTTTTTTGTTTTGTG